GAGCGCGCAGAGACCTCTAGCGCCCAGAGGGAGCGCGGCACCCGCCGTCTTGGTGCGCGGGCCGGGAAGGGGCGCCGCCGGCCCTCCGCGCCCCTCTCCGCGCTTTGTGCGCAATCCCCGGCTGCGACCGCGCGGGAGGCCCGATTCCCTCACGGCCGCTAATGCAGCCCGCCGAGTCGTGGTTGACCGGGTACACCGCCAGTCCCTGGGTTTACACCCGCGAAACGAGGCGCCTTGATGAAGAGCCCAGGGGCTTGGTGCGCAGGGCGGGCACAGCCATGAAGGAGACAACCGGTCTGAGCTCGGCAGATCATTTTATAAGGAAGGCAGCCCGGAACGAAGTAAATCCGGGCTTAGGGCATGTCACTTATCAGGCCGCTGTGTTGAAGGGGGCTTTCCCCGGAGAAAGTGGGCTGAGGATCTTAGGCTTTGCACCCCTGCGTTAGCCTGCTCTGACAGCACGCTGGGTTTTTGGTACAAAGCATGCCCACATTTGTCACTTTTGACAATCGAGAACTATCCTTTTCAGCCCTTACAGGTGAAATAGCAGGCTGTGTGCATGGTGGAGGATTACTGCTTAAAATGACCCAGAACTCCTCATGCGGTGATAGGAAATAAAAGGTTAAAAAGATATTTGAGCAGAGAAGAAAATGGGGCCCAGGCTCAGAAACAGAATACAGCTTTTTCCTGGATTGTCTGATTGATGGCGTAGAATTTTTCAATTCTCTACCACCTCCCTGTGCAGAGAAAGCAAGTATGCCCAGGACTACCGGGCGTGCTTTTCGTCATACTAATTTTCTATGGAGAGAGAATTTAGGTTTTGCGTTAAATCTGTTTGATGATTTTTCACTTTTAGTTAAAAATGGCACAGACCCGTGACATCTGAACCCCAAAATTTTGCTGATTCCTAAAGCTGAACTCATTGGCTGCATTTGCACAAATGTTAACCTATTGGACTGAATAAACCAGCACATGGATGCAAGCATCTAGCGACTGGAACTGGCATTATCAGCTTCGGACAAGAAATGTCAAAGAAGTCAAGATGGCAGATTGAAGCCCTACCCTTTTATATGCAGCCCTCTATTGCCACCTGACTGATTCTTATGGTTTCCATATTGGATTTTCATGCAGTTCATAGTACATTTCCGTAGAGGTAAATCAAACTCTTCAATAGAGCTTACACCCAAGTTAATTGGCAAAGCTTTTGCCACCTTGCAAGGATAAAGTTCTGGAATCTATAAAAATACTTTGTGTGTGTGTGTGTGTGTGTGCCTTTGACTCCTGGTGCCTGCCTGTACTAATCCCTGAAGTTTTCTTGGCAAGATTTTCAGAAGTGGTTGCCACTGTTTTCTCCCTAGGGCTGGGAGAGAGTGAGTGGGCCAAAGACACCCAGTTAGCTTTGTGCTTAACTGGTTTCCACCCTGGTGCCTTAACCACTACATCAAATGGGCTCTTAAAAATACTTTACAAATCACTAATAAACTTGGGGAAAGAACTGAGTTCCATTGAAGAAGAGCAAGGTACGTGCTTTTACTAAACAAACAATAGCAATGTATAAAACGGGTTTTTTAAATTAATTTTTTTAAAAATTAAAATTAGAGTCCCTATATATCCCTGATTCTGCATACGTACTACATGCATACAAATGAATCTGTTGGGAACTATGTACATAATTTATATCCAGTTTTGCAATACTCTTTCAGAATAGAGAGATGAATGTTGTCTTTAAAACTGGCTTATGTATTATGCATCTACTATAGCATCCTTAGGTAATATTCTATAGTTTTGGAAATAATTGTCAGTACTTTATAATTTGGATTAGATTTTCAATCATTTATCTGAAAAAAATGCATATCCCACATTCTCTTTTCATTTAAGAAGTGGTCTCTTCTGGAGCGTATATATACAGACTTACAGATTTAGGAAAAATGGATAATGAGTAATATATTTACTATAACCATATATGTAGGATTTTTTTTTTTTAAAATACGTCTGCCCGTTTACTCGGAATGATATCCTGTGATATTTCGTGGAGAAATAAGCATAGAATTTCAGTCTTTCCTTGACGGAAGGTCATTGTTGAGAGTAAGTTCTGGAGCACAGTAAGAAAATCTCTGGCCGGGGAATAAAAAAAGACCAAGGTGCAGATATAACCGCTTTTTAGTCAGCATTTTTTTCTGCTAGTTTAACAACCAGGAATATTTTGATGAGAAAGCAGGCAATGTACAAGCAATGAACTTTAGCATCTTCTATGGCAGAGCTTGGCCAACAGCTGTATTATTTAAAGGCTATCCAGATTAGAGACATTTTTCGCAATGTATTAGATGTCTTATAGGCCAAGCCAGAACTGTAATAGACCTTGAACCTTTTACTACTCCAGTTTTAGAAATAACTCATTCGAGGCTAACTCTTTTCCCTTTTGTATGTATGCGCGTGAGCCTTCGAGCCGGTCTAGGCTCCTGGCAATTGCCTGAATTAGTCCCTGCAGTTTTCTTGGCTACATTTTTTCGAAGATGTTTGCCCTGACTTTCTTTCTAGGACTGAGAAAGAGAGGATCTGGATGACTGGGTGACCTAGAGTCATCCAGATGTCTTTGTGCCTAAAGCAGGACTAGAACTCATGGTCTCCTGGCTTCTCATCTGATACCTTAAACCACTACAGCAGACTGGTTCTCTTTCTCTTTTGAGGGCTCTTTTATTTATAAACTAGACTTCAGACAGGGAGCAGACTTAGCCTAAGTGCACCTTGAATCACAAGGCAGCTTCATATTAACCTAGAAAGAAGTAAAGTAGAGTCTCGCTTATCCGACATAAACGGGCCGGCAGAACATCGGATAAGCGAAAATGTCGGATAACACGCAGTAACGATTGAGTGCAGTAAAAACAAAAAACTCCGATCCGCTGCGCCTGTTGCAATCGATTTTTGCATTGCGGTGCCGCACCATCAGGAGCAACAAGAAAGAGTATGCTCACGCTCGCAAACAAGCGGCACACTTTTCTCATCGCCGATTTATGCGTGGTGTTGTTTTTTTTAGGGGCATTGGATAAGACGAAAGGTCGGATAAGAAAGGTCGGTTAAACGAGACTCTACTGTACCTTAATAGTCCAGTGTTCCTCAACCTTGGCCACTTTAAGATGTGTGGACTTCAACTCCCTGAATTTCCCAGCCAGCATGCTGGTTGGGGAATTCTGGGAGTTGAAGTCCACACATCTTAAAGTGGCCAAGGTGGAGAAACACTGCTTAATACCAAAGACAGGTTTCCTTTCATTTTGAGCACTGCTTCGCATTTCTCAAAGCCTCCTTTCCATCCACTTCTATACATTTGTAGAAAAAACTGCCAACCGCTCCTGTCTTTGACAAGGCCAGCTGCTTAGATGAGTGAAATATGACCCATTCTGGAAAAATATTTGCCAAGGATAGGTGGTTTTTCTTCTCCCGCTTCTCTCCCTAGCTTCCCTGAAACAAAGGGGCAGACTTTGAAAGATGCACACGAATATGGTCGGATCAGATTTACCGGGTGAATAGAAAACTGATCCCCGTGGGTTTTTCTTTTGACTGAGAGTCGATTTCCATGCACTTGGCAACTTAGGGATGAAGATGTTATTTTCACATTCCACCCTGAACAATGAGAAGTAATTTGCATGGTTCTCATTAGAGAGAGGACTGCAGAGATTTAGATGCCTAGATGTTGCTGCCTTAGATTTGTTTTAAATATCCTCTTGGAAGAGGATTTGCATCATTCTCCTAAACCTACAATTACCATACTTCTTGGAAGGAAGCCAAGATGATTGAATTGACTGATAAGGATCACATACTGGCCAAAGTCTGGGTTGGTTGGCAAACTCGTGGCTTCACAAAATGTACTAAGCCACGAATAAGGTTTACAGACCAAAATGGAAGTCTACTTAATCCCAAACCAAACCAAGTTATGGCTTAGCCCATATGCCTTCGCAGGTCTGCCTTTTACTAAACAGCTGTGAGCCTTAGCGATTCTCAGAGGTTCTGTCACCTTTCGACAGGACATCGTAAAAGCTTTCTGCTCAGCCAAATGTACAGATTTGTAACTGTTTTTGGTGCCACTTTATATGAACATATATGAGATTCCAGGAACGACATTTCAGAAGTGACTAGTAAAGGATACCTAGTATTAGACTTAATCTAATGACTTCTTTGTGTGACTGGGTGCCCCAAGCAAATGAAGATGGTTTCTTTGCTTAAGGCAGAGGGCATTGTGTGAACATAACTACTGTTGTTTTTAAGCCTTGATTTATGGTTTAGTGTGATGTGAACCCAGCCGGCTGTATTCAATAAATCATGGTTAAGCAAAACCACATTGTAGTTTAGTGTGTTGTGCAAATTCAGTCCACATGTTTAATTTAAAGCTTACTTGAACTCAAGGGCATGGGTTGAGAAAAATCATGGTTTACTCAACCAAGGCTAAACATATCAGGCAAAGACAATCTACATATTTTGTTAGATTTGCTGTTTATTTCTTGTTAAGCTACCTTAGAACAATCTGGGGTAGAAATATGGCATGGAAGTATTTTAAATAAGTAAAATATTTGAACCCTTGATTTCTTTTTGATTGCCAGAAGCTGTGAATCCCACAGCCACATTTATGTCAGAACTCACACCTCACCAAGCCATCTTTTGTTAAGCTGTTAGCACTTGAGAAAACACTTTGAGGTATAAAAAACAAGGGTTAAAATATAATTGAGAACTAATGATTTCCCACCACCAGAATACACATGAATTGAGAGGGAATTTGAATTGAGGAGGATTAAATCCATTTAGGCTTACCTGAGCCTTTGTCACGTGTGTTTTACAGCCGTGTAACACATATCACACAAATTACATCCTTGCATCAAACCCATGACACACACAATGTAATTCTGACATCTTTGTGACTTCGTATGAATGCTCACAATATCTAATGGAAGAAATAAAAGTTATAAATAATTGGTAAATTGTTATAAATAACAATTATAGCTGAGCTTTGAAATATAAAATTTCCAACTCAATAGCTAAGTGTTTCCTTTATTTGGATTCACCAAAAGTTTTCATAAGAGTGCACAAAACTTTGTTTCCTACTAGAGACTTATCTTCATACTATCATCCAGCCATTATTGAAGGGGTACAGCCGGTCTTCGCTATTGTATCAGCACAACAACAATTTGGATAACTCTGCAAGATGCCCTAATTCACTAGCGGAGATCCTGTCCAAATAGTCCAAAACTCTGGAAGGCGTTACCAAAAGCTGGGGAAAGAGGAAACAAGAACATCCAGAAATTAGGCCAGCCATGAGATCAGCAAGCAGCATGCACTGGAAAAAAATGGAACAGGAATAATAGTCACAGTTAATCACCACCTGGGTGGTGTCGTTGGAGTTCGATTTGCTTAGCTAATGGTAGATCCTATGGAAGACAGGCACTGTAAGTATTTTATTTATTTATTTTAATTAATTAATTAATTAAAGACGCCAGTAATTAATTCCCAGTTCATCAAATAAACAGAATACTTAGGCTCTGCCTCAGAATAAGGTTACTGGGAATGCTCAGAAATTCTTCTGCGGCTGTGTTTACACCACAGCTAATGATGGTTAATCCAACTTTGGGGGCTTCTCCCCTAAGGTTGGGGGAGAGGGCTAGCCAGCTGGGCAGCTTCTGGCCTAGGACGGAGCTGGCGCATCGGGGCTGTACACATTCGGATGACCCTAGATGGGAATAAAGTTTCTTCCATCGCCATGTTCTCTTCCCTCTTGCGGTCATCCGGATTTTGCAGCTCGGACCCGTGAGCGCTCCAGGTTCAGTCCGGCGGGACGCAAAAGCCAGGGCGGGAGCCCGACGCGGATCGAGCAGCAGAAGCGCGCAGCTCCAGACCCGTTTCGGACTCCTCCGCCCGCCCGTCCGACCCGGTTTCTCCCCGCGTTCGCTCCCACCGGGCTGAGCGCAAAATGCCGCCGTGAGCGCACAATGGGGAAGGCGGCGCTGGCGGCGCGCCCG